TGGTAGGTTCGTTGATAATTTGTGTGAGATTGAGGGCATCTAGTTTAGATTGTAGGATGGCCAGGGTGTTAAGCATATCCCAATTTAGGTCACCAAGCAGTACGAACTCTGAGGATAGATGGGGGCAATCAATTCACATATGGTGTCCAGGGCACAGCTGGGGGCTGAGGGGGGTCTGTAGCAAGCGGCAACAGTGAGAGATTTATTTCTGGAAAGGTGGATTTTTAGAAGTAGAAGCTCAAACTGTTTGGGCACAGACCTGGATAGTATGATAGAGCTCTGCAGGCTATCTCTACAGTAGATTGCAACTCCACCCTCTTTGGCAGTTCTATCTAGACGGAAAATGTTATAGTTGGGGATGGAAATTTCAGAATTTTTGGTGGCCTTCCTAAGCCAGGATTCAGACACTGCTAGAACATCAGGGTTGGCGGAGTGTGCTAACGCAGTGAATAACTCAAATTTAGGAAGGAGGCTTCTGATATTTACGTGCAGAAAACGAAGACTTTTACGGTTACAGTAGTCAACAAATGATAGCTCCTGGGGAGTAGGAGTGATACTGGGGGCTGCAGGGCCTGGGTTAGCCTCTACATCACCAGAGGAACAGAGGAGGACTAGAATAAGGATACGACTAAAGGCTTTAAGAACTGGTCTTCTAGTGCGTTGGGTACATAGAATAAAGGGGGCAGTTCTCCGGGCGTTGTAGAAAAGATTCAGGGCATTATGTACAGAAAATGATATGGAAGGATATGAGTACAGTTCAGGTAACCCTAAGTGTTGGGTAACAATGAAAGAGATAGCGTCATTGGAGGCACCGAATGAGCCGGTCTCGGCGTGTATGGGGGGTGGAACAAAGGAACTATATGAGGTAGTTTGAGAGGGACTAGGGGTTCTACAGTGAAATTGTATGATAAGAACTAACCCAAACAGCAATAGGCAAGGCATAATTGACATGGGAGAGAGGCATAAAGCAGTCACAGGTGTTATTAGAGAGAGCTAAGACAACAACTGGAAATAGCGATAACGTTTGGGCTAAGACTAAACAGAATAAACAGGACAGGGTACCGTGTAAAGGAACAGTCCAGCAGGCATCAGCTGTGCAGCTGAGTGATCATAAGGTCCAGTGAACAGCAATATGTGAGTCCGAGAGCAGTTCAAATTGGTGCTTCAGCACAGCTAGCAGGGAGCACAGTTGTAGTTTGCGTGTGCTAGCGGGCCGGGGCTGGCAGATGGATCTTCGTGGTCGTCGCAACTGGAAGCCTGATGAAACCACATCAGACTATTTCGTCGGCAAACCAGTCGTGTTGGATCGGCGGGGCTCAGTGTCAACACTAGGAGGTCCCGTCCGGTTGACAGAGAGGTAGATAGCCAGGAGATGGGCCTGAGGCTAGCTCAGGGCTAACTGGTGCTTGCTATAGGGCAATGGTAAATCAGCCACAACAGGTTGCAGCTAGCTAGCTGGTTGTGATGATCCGGCGCTAGGGTCCAGTGATTCCGGCAGAAAGTCCAATAAGCTCTGGGTCGATAGCATGCTGGGTCGATAGCACGCTGTGCAGACTGGCCAACGAATTGTCCAGGCTAGAGCTAGAGCTGGCTGGTGGATAGTGTAGGCCACGGACAGTGGGGAAGATGCTAACGGTGACTAATAACAAGTAGCCATTTAGTTGCGGCTACACTAGTATCAGCTTACGGTTCTTGATGAAAGTTATAAAGAAATAATAGAATCCTTTCCAAGTTGGGTGAGGCGGGTTGCAGGAAAGTATATTTAGTTAAAGAATGAAAAGTAAAAATTGAGAGATATATACAAAATAGACAAAAAAAAAAAAAAAAGAAACGGATATTTACACAGGACGATGAAATAAAAGCAACCGCACTGCTACGCCATCTTGGTGTATGTAGCAGTATATGACAGAATAACAAAGGACAAACAAGAATTTAGTATTTTATGCACACACTGAGTTTATGTCAAACATTCAATACTCCTCCGTTCACATTTGCGCTAAGAAATAAGCAAAAACTTAACTCAGGAATATTATAAGTAACTCAATAACATTTTATTTTATTTATTTTAATCCGTCAACATATCTCTAGTTTATCAATTCAATAGGTCTCAAGAAAACAGTTTCATCTTCAAACAACAGCCGATGTAACAACCAGAATACACCATTAGACTCTAAATCTCTATGTCTTTGTTCCTTCGTTCGTCTGTGCCTCCCCGCAGAAGAGTATAGCAGAGGAGTGACCTATTTACCCCTACGTCACTCTAGACACATAAAATCACACCCATGCGCAGTACATTCATCACTACGATTTCACAGTGGAAGGAGCTCTCTCCCAGCTCTCTCCAAGCCAGACAACTTCAGAACGTTAACAGTCCCGCTATCCTTCCTCTCTTTTACCCCTTATAGACAAACAATAACACTTAACAGAGCTCACAAAACATAGGGCACAAAACCCACGCTAACTAAACACAGTTTTGGAGGCTCGACCCATTCCAATGGACCACCAAGGAAAAAATATCGAACGTATGCACGCATCAAATTTGGCATGAAGCATGAATAAATTAGCATTAGCATTAGCATTAGCATGTAGCATGAAGCATTATTAGCAGGCCACGTTTAGCATTTCTCCCTCCGCCACGTCGTAAATTCTTTTGTTTGCTAAATTTCTGCTACCACGAGGTCCCTCAGGAATTGTAATGAGCGGTTACATCAAACAAATGATTCGTCAACCACCAGCTGAGCGGTAACATACAATAACAATATACCACGGCCTCAAGTCCCCAGGACTCACCTACTCCACCTAACGTGTTACAGGATTTGTTGGCCCATCCTAGAGATCGCCTTTACAAAAGGGCTTCCGTAGTTTCGTAGCGGTTCTAAGTTACACACATATGCCTAGGCCTTATTCCTCTCAATCGATTGTTCTTGAATTCTTATTCAAGCAAAATATCTCTATAGACACTCCCCCCTTTTTGCGCTGTTTACCACAGCAATAACAGCCACACCAGCACACACAAGTCCTTTACGGTACATCACCCCAGCGCACACACCCATAACCAGATGAACGAAATCGCACACAAGAACAGGAGAAATCTCACCTTATGAGGGGGCGTCTTGAGCGGGAGTCACTTCGCTGTTCATGAATATAACACTGGAGAGACGCAGATCGCCCCAATCACTCGTCGCCAAATTTGTAGTGTCGAGTTAATGTGGCTAATTATGCTGTAACAAAGGAGTCCGCTTATACTGAGCTTTGATCATAAGTTTTATTCATATCACAATATTTCAGCATAAGTTTACAGATGTCTATAGCATCCGGAGAAATATGGGGAACCCAAAATATGGGTGGTTCCCCATACTGACCAATCCCCTGTCTACAACAAACAGACTCCCTCTGTTCTATGAGGTGTCACTCTAAAACAGCTCCCTCTGAAACTGAATAAACATCCTCTCAGGTTCCACTTGAAAACATTAGCAATGTCATAATTCTTCATATACTACAGTAGCCTTCCACAAGCTTCCTACAATAAGTTGGGTGAATTTTGGCCCATTCCTCCTGACAGAGCTGGTGTAACTAAGTCAGGTTTGTAGGCCTCCTTGCTCGCACACGCATTTTCAGTTCTGCCCACAAATGTTCTATAGGATTGAGGTCAGGGCTTTGTGATGGCCACTCCAATACCGTGAATTTGTTATCCTTAAACCATTTTGCCACAACTTTGGAAGTATGCTTGGGGTCATTGTCCATTTGGAAGACCCATTTGCGACCAAGCTTTAACTTCCTGACTGATGTCTTGAGATGTTGCTTCAATATATCCACATAATTTTCCTTCCTCATGATGCCATCTATTTTGTGAAGTGCACCAGTCCTTCCTGCAGCAAAGCACCCCCACAGCATGATGCTGCCACCCCCGTGCTTCACGGTTGGGATGGTGATCTTCGGCCTGCAAACATAACGATGGTCATTATGGCCAAACAGTTCTATTTTTGTTTCATCAGACCAGAGGACATTTCTCCAAAAAAGTAAGATCTTTGTCCCCATGTGCAGTTGCAAACCGTAGTCTGGCTTTTTTAATGGCGGTTTTGGAGCAGTGGCTTCTTCCTTGCTGAGCGGCCTTTCAGGTTATGTCGATATAGGACTCGTTTTACTGTGGATATAGATACTTTTGTACCTGTTTCCTCCAGCATCTTCACAAGGTCCTTTGCTGTTGTTCTGGGTCTGATTTGCACTTTTTGCACCAAAGTACGTTCATCTCTAGGAGACAGAACGCGTCTCCTTCCTGAGCGGTATGACGGCTGCGTGGTCCCATGGTGTTTATACTTGCGTACTATTGTTTGTACAGATGAATGTGGTACCTTCAGGCGTTTGGAAATTGCTCCCAAGGATGAACCAGACTTGTGGAGGTCTACAATTGTTTTTCTGAGGTCTTGGCTGATTTATTTTGATTGTCCCATGATGTCAAGCAAAGAGGCACTGAGTTTGAAGGTAGACCTTGAAATACATCCACAGGTACACCTCCAATTGACTCAAATGATGTAAATTAGCCTATCAGAAGCTTCTAAAGCCATGACATCATTTTCTGAAATTTTCCAAGCTCTTTAAGGGCATAGTCAACTTAGTGTAAGTAAAACGTCTGACCTACTGGAATTGTGATACAGTGAATTATAAGTGAAATAATCTGTCTGTAAACAATTGTTGGAAAAATTACTTGTGTCATGCACAAAGTATATGTCCTAAACGACTTGCCAAAACTATAGTTTGTTAATAAGAAATTTGTGGAGTAGTTGAAAAACAAGTTTTAATGACTCCAACCTAAGTGTATGTAAACTTCCAACTTCAACTGTACATGTGATGCAAATATGTCAATATCATAAATTGGTGTATCAAATCCATTTTTCCTTCATAACTATAGAGTAGCAATCACTGAACAAAATGAAGTTCTAGATCGCTCTTTTAAAACAAAATTACTTCATAGGACTTAATCGTTATCCAAACTTATGGGTTCAAGTTTTTTTGTTGTTGCAGATGATCAGATATTCAGGTAGGGCCTGGTGTACATTGAAAATGACACAGGTGCCTACAACCCCATTCACGCTGTCATACAGGCTGAGGGGGTCTCCACCGGGGGTCTCCGGTGGCACAATAAGACCTGGTGAGCCAATAGTAGACTTCCCCGTCAGCATCTGTGCCTCAATGAAGTACAGGTACTCTTCATCAGCCAAGCCCCTCCACAGCTTCTCTGTCCCATGCACGCTGCTACTGAAGTAGATACCCTCTCCATACATTTGCTCTATGGATGAAAGTAACACATTAACAAAAACATTGTGTGATGATGTAGGTTGAGTTATGTTTTAGCTGCAAACTAGGTATAGGTATGTGCCTCAAAAAGCCTTGTGAAAGTCTATAAAATGTCATTCCATTTAAATAGGTGGCTTCGCTTACCGTCAGGTGGTGCAAACTCCCTCTGGAAGCCCACTCGGCTGACCAGGTCACAGTATTGCGCTGGCAGGCGCTGGTACATTCGTTGTGAAGAGGCAGGCTGCAACTGTCTCTTCTTTAGCTCAGAGAGATGGTTCAGAGTGCTATTCTCCACCTTCTCAACCTGTAACAAAAGATTAAACCATATTTGATCAGTTATCATGCAGTAAATACCACAGATTGCACATTTACTGTTAAATCTGTAGTTTATTTTGTTAACACTCACCCTGACAATTTAAAGCCCGGAAAAATCGTCTGAGCTGTTTTTCTCTACAGGCTTCCTTGGGAAATTGTTGGACAATTTCAGGCCCATGTAACTCCATTCTTTTTTTGCAACATTTTCTTGTAAATGGCTTCCAACTTTAACACAGAAGCTCTGACACCTCTAGAAACCCCCTGGATGGTCACACCAGTACGACTATCTTTAAAGAACTCCTCAATGGAAACATTCTACTTGGTTTGAAGGGAAAGCAGCTCGTCAAATTCCCTCTGACCAAAGTGCAGATTGAAACTGTTGAGCGTGGTGAAGTTCTCAGAGGGCATGAAAGCGTACATGAGCCAATATTTGGCCTCCCTCAATGTGTCACTGTGGGCACTGCTGAGCTCGATATACAGTGTTGCACCTCCTCTTGGATATCGGTGTTAATTTGTAGCTCTGGACTCATAACGATCAGTTGTGTGCCCAAATCCTTGCAGATTCACAGACATGAAAGCATACGTTAGTTCAAAAGTTGGAAGAAAGATGTTGTATGTGTTCTGTTGAGACACAAATTATATTAACATACCACTTAGTCTACTTCTTTTGATTGGGATCTCACCTTTAGAGGAGTCACTGTTGGAGGATCTAGAATGTTGTGTTGCGCCTTGAAGAGATTTCAGTTGATCTTCAAAAGCCTGTGGAAAAGAGCAGAAATATGTGAGCAATGGTAACTAGGGGTGTGCCGAGTACTCGGACAAAACAAGTATCGTAACGGCTATGGAGAATTTTCCAAATACGATTATAAAAAGTATTTTTTGTAATGATCGGTGACCGGATATTTTCAGCTGCCAGCACGCAGCTCTCTTTCACTCAAACAAACAGCGTGAAGTGCTGTGTGCTCTAAAAAACTATTGGCTAGTTCTTCTGTCTGTAAAGAAACTGGCGGGGTATCGGTTGAGTCTGCTGCAATGACTGGATTAGAACAAGCCGCTCTCCCTCTGCTCTCATTTCCCCAGACACATGCACGGGTGTTTCACTCACTCACGGTCACTTCTCTAAGGGCACAAGTCCCCCCTTCTCCAAACATCATATATGAATCTGTAGCTAGTCATTGTTGTTCAACGTAGTTATTTCCTGTCGACTTTGCTAAGGTCATATGGTCGTTTTTGTCTGTCTACTTGGCATTGTTTAGTAGGTTTACTTTGTCGGTCTGTATAATTATTCCATTGCTGACGACGTCTGTCGTTATGTTGTGATCCATGCCCATTCTTGCTTGCTATTATTATTTATTCTCCCCAGGCATGTTTACTGAGCGACAGATCATTAGAAAATAAAAATGACAAATGTAGATTGTATATTTTGATGTACAAATGTTGTGGCATAAGTTTTGGGAGAGAAAAGCTTTGCTCCTCTCGAAAGTGAAAAAATATGGGGCAAGTGAATTAGCCTAACTTCATCTAAATCTGTGTCTGGAATAAATGTAGCCAGCCATGCAATAGGCTATTTATTTGCTTATTCCGTTGATAATTGAATAGGACTAAGTAAATAAATCATGTGCATTTTCATATGTCGGGGTCGTTTAACAATGTGTGTGAATGAGTGAAGGAACACTTCACTGCACTTGAGGTATAGGCTTTACCAACATTTAAAGTATACTTCCGGGTTCTCCGATCACAAGTAAATCTGATTAAGAGTATCAAGTGTCATATAACTGATACGATTACGAATATGACGATATTGGCACACTCCTACTGGTAACTATGCTATATCAGTTATGGTGTGTCAGAGCAAGACAGTAAAGAACTGAAGTCTTGATTTAGAAATACACCATATTCCCAAACTATTCAGTTCAAAGCCTGGAATTACCAAATCAAAGCAAAATTGAGATTTTTTTTTTTCTGAAAATAACATTGTAGGATTTTGAATGAATTTATTTGCAAATTATGGTGAAAAATAAGTATTTGGTCACCTACAAACAAGCAAGATTTCTGGCTCTCACAGACCTGTAACTTCTTCTTTAAGAGGCTCCTCTGTCCTCCACTCGTTACCTGTATTAATGGCACCTGTTTGAACTTGTTATCAGTATAAAAGACACCTGTCCACAACCTCAAACAGTCACACTCCAAACTCCACTATGGCCAAGACCAAAGAGCTGTCAAAGGACACCAGAAACAAAATTGTAGACCTGCACCAGGCTGGGAAGACTGAATCTGCAATAGGTAAGCAGCTTGGTTTGAAGAAATCAACTGTGGGAGCAATTATTAGGAAATGGAAGACATACAAGACCACTGATAATCTCCCTCGATCTGGGGCTCCACACAAGATCTCACCACGTGGGGTCAAAATGATCACAAGAACGGTGAGCAAAAATCCCAGAACCACACGGGGGGACCTAGTGAATGACCTGCAGAGAGCTGGGACCAAAGTAACAAAGCCTACCATCAGTAACACACTACGCCGCCAGGGACTCAAATCCTGCAGTGCCAGACGTGTCCCCCTGCTTAAGCCAGTACATGTCCAGGCCCGTCTGAAGTTTGCTAGAGTGCATTTGGATGATCCAGAAGAGGATTGGGAGAATGTCATATGGTCAGATGAAACCAAAATATAACTTTTTGGTAAAAACTCAACTCGTCGTGTTTGGAGGACAAAGAATGCTGAGTTGCATCCAAAGAACACCATACCTACTGTGAAGCATGGGGGTGGAAATATCATGCTTTGGGGATGTTTTTCTGCAAAGGGACCAGGACGACTGATCCGTGTAAAGGAAAGAATGAATGGGGCCATGTATCGTGAGATTTTGAGTGAAAACCTCCTTCCATCAGCAAGGGCACTGAAGATGAAACGTGGCTGGGTCTTTCAGCATGACAATGATCCCAAACACACCGCCCGGGCAACGAAGGAGTGGCTTCGTAAGAAGCATTTCAAGGTCCTGGAGTGGCCTAGCCAGTCTCCAGATCTCAACCCCATAGAAAATCTTTGGAGGGAGTTGAAAGTCTGTGTTGCCCAGCGACAGCCCCATAACATCACTGCTCTAGAGGAGATCTGCATGGAGGAATGGGCCAAAATACCAGCAATAGTGTGTGAAAACCTTGTGAAGGCTTACAGAAAACGTTTGACCTGTGTCATTGCCAACAAAGGGTATATAACAAAGTATTGAGAAACTTTTGTTATTGACCAAATACTTATTTTCCACCATAATTTGCAAATAAATTCATTAAAAATCCTACAATGTGATTTTCTGGATTTTCTTTTCTCATTTTGTCTGTCATAGTTGACGTGTACCTATGATGAAAATTACAGGCCTCTCTCATCTTTTTAAGTGGGAGAACATGCACAATTGGTGGCTGACTAAATACTTTTTTTCCCCACTGTACGTCTCAGTGTCAGATGGAAAGATAACATAATAAATATCCATCTTCATTCCATTGTTGTGTCCATCATGATCTTTGCAACCACCTGCTTGCTGAAGCCCAGCACACCAGTACCAGTGGCCGGGAAGGAGATTGAAGACACCTGCCTTTTTTGTGCCATGCTCAGTCACCAAGACTCTTAACAGAGGAATACAGAAAGCTTACAAATTACTTGCTTATTCCATGTTATACATATGGACTGGATATAGCAAATATAGTTAGAGATATACTACTCTTAACATATTGCTAGGAACATCGAGGTAGGCTAACGATTTCATATTTGATCTCATAACAGTCCATTGCAGTGTAGTTGGTTACCTTACTAAGTCTTATAGAGACTTATTTGCATTTACCTTTTCAGACACTTCACTTTTGTGAGGGCATATAGTGTGGTACACATATTTGCATAGTAGTTTGTGTCCCTGGGTTTCAATAACATCACCATATTTGTGGTTGTTTTTGAAGTAATTCCAGATCTCTTTATGGATGCCTTGGTCAGCAGCTTTCAGGATTGCTTTGGATATTACCCCGGTTGACAAATTCAGGTCAGTAGACACCTTGAAGCTCTTGGATAGATGAATAGAAAACCTTTCCTCAGGAAAGACAGAGGGCTTCCTCGACTGCCCTGCACCTACACAGGTGGCATCTACACCATGGAGCACAGTAGTGCATCCAAACTTGCTTTGCAGGACGTTAGTCAGAGCTGATCCACATTGGCCTAGGATGCTAACCATCTCTTCCTCTAGGGATATTCAATGACTTGGCCATGGCTCACACAGCACAGGGAATCCAATGTTAACCTGTAAAGAACAAACAGTTGAGTGTAAGATAATGTCCACTGGGCACACACTGGTTGAATGAACGTTGTTTCATGGTTTCATTTTTGTAACATTGAGGACTAGGCTATAATCAAAACTGAAAAGTAAACTGACATGACTGATCAGGTTAAATAATGGTTAATTAAATAAATCAATATATAGAGGTAGTTATTTTCTCAATTCTGAATTTATATGGAATTTGAGTCGGCGGGAAATAAAGTTGTGTGACAACGTATGTATTTGTATCCATTAGCTACTGACTGTTCCAACAGTGACAGTTCACTTTTTATGGGAAAGTGCGCACTTTTATTCGCAGCTGTCTCCAAACACTAATTTAGAGCTCCTCGGGAACAATATCTGTTTTGTAAATTGCCCAGCTAGTCAGTCTAAAGGAAAGCAACAAATAGCCTAATCTACCATACATGCATCCAAAACACACATTTCCACTAGCAGGCTAGCCATTAACATAACGTTAGCTGACTTGGGCTAACTTTCAAACTCAGTCAGTTTCCAAATGACACTATCACTCCAGACCACTAACTGTTAGTTCGTCACAATACTTTAACAACATCAATCGAACCAACAACTAAGTTGTAAGGAAATAGTGACAGTATTATAGCCTACTCACCTCACAGCAGCGAATGTTTAATAGAATTAGCAACTGACGACAACGGGCTAAAAGCCAATTTATGCTTGATCAGAAAAATGTGGTTGGAGGCGATTTATATGGATAGAGCGACGCAAGTGCAGAGCCCAAATTGACCTCTGTACCACATCGCCCTGCGCCTCTCAAATGTTGTAACAATAAGGAAGGCTCTGTATGGCTTCGCATTGACATGATTGGTTGACAGTAGGTGAGGGCGTGAGGTCTTGTATAAACATAAACTCACTTCCTTGACAACTTCCTTCACAACAGCTCTGCGATGCTCCGCAAGAAGTAGGAATGCCCTGACTTCTGCAGAGGCCATATTGTTTGGATGTTAAAAGACAAGTCATTGATGCGAGTAACCAGTCTTGTTCAGCACATTGTAATTCATCTGGGTATATTAAGCACACCGGTAAAAACACTGGTGTTGCAGTAATTAACATTTACCAACAGATGGCATCAACGTGCCATCTTACACCCATAACGTCTTCCCTTTTATAAAATAGAACATCAGCTGTCAAGTCACTAACAAAACAAACCTAGTAATAATATCCAACATGAACAGTTTTTAGTTTTTTTTTTCAGGTATAAAATAAACAACACATTTTGATAGTCTCTTCAATTATATATATTTTTAAAAATCTCTGTCAACAATACATAATAGGAAACCTACAGATGAAGTATTTTAGGTGGCTGGGACAGCCGCCCGCAGCGTGAAAAGACGGGGCTTTTCTGTTAGGACTACGGGATCACGCGCAGGTGTGTCACCTGACTGTCTGAGGGGAGTCTTGATGGGTGAGGGAGCGACTGCCCTGTGATCCCCTGGCTCTTCGCCAGTGCCTCAGGCCCCACGTGACTTGCTGGGGTTCCGTCCTTTGCCATGCGACCCCTATGACCATCAGGGTTCTGAGTAGGTACTGGCTCAGCAACCCGAAGGTCAACCCTGTTACGACGGTACAGTGATCCATTCACTTCGACCAAGTAGGAGCGTGGTGCAACCTTTTGTACACAGGATCAGAGTCTCCAGTGGCACGTCCGGTCCCCTGGTAGTGGCTTCATCCTCACCGCTTCACCCACCCTGAGCTCAGGTAAGTCCTTTGCTGATTTGTCGTAGATGAACTTGGACACCTGTTTTCTGTGACGAAGCTTCTCGAGCATGTCTGTCACCACACAGGGCTCCAGGAGAGTGTTGGCTACTGGCAGAGCTGCTTTTAAGCGCCATGCCATGAGGCACTGGACCGGGCTGCTTTTTATTCCTTCCGTTGTGGTATTGCACCACTGCAGGACTGCTTTCCAGGCATCCTTGCCCTCTCGCAGAGGTTCTTTGCGATTTTGACTGCCGACTCTGCCTTCCCATTAGCTTTTGGGTGTCGTGGCGATAAGGTGATGTGCTCGAATTCCCATTCTGCAGCAAATTTCCTGAACTCAAAGCAGGAGAATTGGGGTCCATTATCTGAGATTAACCTATCTGGCTGGCCATAGTGGGCAAACTGAGCCTTGCAGCGTTTGATCGTTGTCTCTGCTGAGAGGTCGGGGAGGAGGTAAATCTCCCAGAAGTCTGAGTAATGATTGACTAACAGAAGAAAGTCTTTGCCACTGTGCTGGAAGAGATCCAGACTTACTATCTGCCAGAGGTGTGTCGGTAGCTCGTTGGACATCATCGTCTCTCTCTGTTGCTCAATGGCGTATTCATTACAGATTGTGCATTTATTGACATAGTCTCTTATTTCTCTCTGCATTCCTGGCCAATACAGTGTGTCACGTGCTTGTCTGTAACAGGCCTCACCTCCAATGTGACTTGAGTGCACGCGCCAACATTTCAGGGCGCAGGGACCGGGGAATAATATCTCTCTGACCCTTTTATATTACTCTGTTTTGAACACTGAGCTCCTCTTTGACTGGCCAATATTCTCTGACGGCTAGAGCAGTTTCTTCCTTGCAGTTGGGCCAGCCCATCAGAATCACAGACCTCAATGCCTGGAGGTGCTCATCCCTGTCTGTGTGCTGTCTGATTTGTACAAGGCGTTGGTCAGTAACATTGAGGTAATCAGCCTGGTTGATGTGTTCAACATCCACTTGCTCTGTTTGTAAGCTGAACACTGTGTGTTGTTCATGCATAGAATGTGTGTGTGTGCCTGATGCAGTAGCCCTGCTGAGCATGTCACTCACATACATCTCCGGCCCTGGCTTATACACCACCTTGAGGTTGTAGCTTTGTAGAGCCAGGATCCGCCTTCAAACCAGTGGAGGACAAGATGTGCCCATGAAAGCGGACCTCTGGCACTGTGAACTGAAGCCTTCTTATGCTTAGCCTTAGCTTGAACTGTCTGCATCTGTCTATCAGGGCCAGCAGCTTGGCGTCATAGTCACATTTGCCTCCTCATCACTGTCCCCACAGCCCACTATGAGGATGTCATCTGCTATGGGTTCCACACCACTGAGTCCAACCAGCAGCTTGTGCGGTTTCCGGTGATACACCTCTGGAGCCACAGAGACTCCAAACGGGAGCTTCAACCACCTCTTCCTGCCCAGGGTGTCCAAAAGGTGGTCATGTAGCCGCTGGGCTCGTCGAACTTGCACTGCAGGAAGGCATCTCTGGCGTCCATGAGCGTGAAGACTCTGGCCTTCGGGAGCTTGTAAAGAACATGTGGACATAATGTAATGTGAACGTCGCAGAGCCCGGTTGAGGTGTTTAGAATTAGTGCATATCTGTAGCTTGTCTGGTTTCTTGACGATAACCATATTACTTATCCGGTCTATAGGCTTGGTGACGGATGTGATGTGGCCATCTGCTTCGTGTTGTCAAGCTGAGCCTTTACATCTGATTTCATGGCCGCTGGGTCATTGTGGGGTGCACACTGGACAGGCTGGATTGCTGCGTCCAACTCAAAGTGGACTTTGCCGGGAACTGACTCGACCGGTGCGTTGAAGACATCATGGTATTTGCTTAGGAGTGTCTCTTTGCTCAGGGGCCCAGCCTGGACTTTGTCTATAATGTTAAGGTCTGCGGGATGGTGAAGCTAATATGCCCGAGGCGCTCGCATGTGGACCCAGACAATAATGGCTGTTGACTAGCCTCAACTATTTCAAACTCAAGGGTGTGTTTCTGGCCACGCACAACACACTCTGTCACAAATAGGCCTAAAGATGTCATCAACCGGCCTGAATACAGTTTCAGCTTGGTGCTACTCTGTGTGAGTTTGTATCTGGGCGCAAGCCTCCTTTTGTCTCTAAGGCTCATAACGTTACGTGGCCCCCAAATCTAGCTGGCATTGCTGTGGTTTATTATTAAGTTGTAGTGACAAACCACTTTTTTCCCCTATCCACTGCCCCTATCCACTCGCTAGCATATACATAATTCTAAGTGCTGTTGTTACCTTCATCTGGGTTTGTTTCAATGGAGTACACTTTCCCCTCCTTTCTCTTGCTTTTCATGCAGACCCTCGTTTTACTGTGGATATAGATACTTTTGTACCTGTTTCCTCCAGCATCTTCACAAGGTCCTTTGCTGTTGTTCTGGGATTGATTTGAACTTTTCGCACCAAAGTACGTTCATCTCTCGGAGACAGAACACGTCTCCTTCCTGAGCGGTATGACGGCTGCGTGGTCCCATGGTGTTTATACTTGCGCACTATTGTTTGTACAGATGAACGTGGTACCTTCAGGCGTTTGGAATTATAAGTGAAATAATCTGTCTGTAAACGATTGTTGGAAAAACGACTTGTGTCATGCAGAAAGTAGATGTCCTAACCGACTTGCCAAAACTATAGTTTGTTAACAAGAAATGTGTGGAGTAGTTGAAAAACGAGTTTTAATGACTCCAACCTAGGTGTATGTAAACTTCCGACTTCAACTGTATATAATTCACTGTACCACAATTCCAGTGGGTCAGAAGTTGACATACACTAAGTTGACTGTGCCTTTAAACAGCTTGGAAAATTCCAGAAAATGATGTCATGGCTTTAGAAGCTTCTGATAGGCTAATTGACATCATTTGAGTCACTTGGAGGTGTACCTGTGGATGTATTTCAAGGCCTAACTTCAAATTCAGTGCCCCTTTGCTTGACATCATGGGAAAATCAAAATAAATCAGCCAAGACCTCCACAACTCTGGTTCATCCTTGGGAGCAATTTCCAAATGCCTGAAGGTACCACGTTCATCTGTACAAACAATTGTACGGAAGTATAAACACCATGGGACCACGCAGCCATCATACCGCTCAGGAAGGAGACGCGTTCTGTCTCCTAGAGATGAACGTACTTTGGTGCG